GTTTTAAAACTGCATCCAAATATTCGCGGTTTTTTCGCTATTCGCGGGGGGTAAAGAACGTAACCCCCACGAATAGCGAGGGAATATTGTACTGGAACTTTAACGAGTTATTAAAAAAATTGAATTAGATAGACGCTGTGGAAGTTGAAAACCATCAGGAGATAAAACATCCAGAATGTGGAGAGAAAATGAATGTGTTGAAGGGAGTTCATATGCCGACCTGGAAGAGGTCGTGCGAGGGCCATCAAAGAAGAAATGTAAAAGAATGAAAAAGGAGACAAATCATATGCAAATAAAAGAAAAATATTCTGTGAGCATCCACACCCAGAGACAAACTTGCCAATGAAAGAGTTGACGGACTCATCTCATAAGGAAAGAGGACCATGGAAAGACAGGGGCAGATGAAGGCAAGGACTCCTAAGGGGAAAGATCCATGATAAGGCACACCAAACAGTCCAGCAGGGCACAGCAGTCAAGCTGGGTGCAAATTGTTCAATAGGTAAGAGATACGGAGATAGGAGAGAAGTACAGTGTACCTCAAAGCAGTCAAAGCTAGAGGAAGAAAGGATTGGTCCAGGGAAAGTGGAATAGTGGGCCATTAGCATCTGAGAGATAGACATTGAAACAATGGTAATTGTAGGAGAGAAGGAGGAGAAAACAAGTCATGAGAGAAAGCAATACAAAAGCCCGAAAATCAATGACTCCAATGGGGGCAGACATGAGATCGTGTAAAACCTCATTAAAGTCTCAGTCACGCAAGGGAGTTGGGCAAGAAGAACTGAGGAGAACAAAGGAGTAGAACAGAAAGGGGAGGATAGGGAAAGAAACACCTCTAGGTACTGAGAAGGGAGAAAGGCTATGGACAGGGCCACTTGACACCTAGGAAAGGCTGAGACCAAGAATTCATTGACTAGCAGTTGGGTAATGTCAGCAGAAAGGTGGTGCACACAATTACTGTCAGGAGGAAAGGATGGTGGAAAGATTAATGACAAAGGACTTTCCACATAAGGTTACAGACAAATACAGTGGAATGACAACAAGAAGTGTTGAGAATAATGCCACACTAGTGAAAAGTCTGGCCCAATAGGCATCTGATCAGGCAAATTCCTGATGAAGAAGAGAAGTGTGAGAGTGAGAAGCAAGAGGAAGAGAGGGGATAATGGGAAGTCCTAGAGGAAGGGATCAGAATATCAAGTGGATCAAGGCTAAAGTAGTCAAGAAAGAACCAACAACAGAGCCCAAGAAGGAGAGTAGTGTGTAAATGCAAGGCTCAGACATTAAACACAAATAGGGGAGTAGGTATAGAGAAGACCAGGCCTGACTGAGAAATCAACAGTCAAAGCCAAACACGAGGAACAGAGAACCATAAGAGAGAAAGCCCAGAGTTGAGAAGGGTGGCAAAAGTGTCCAAGACAGATGTGTCCATCCAAGGATAAACCCTTGAAAGACCAGGGGTGTAGAGGCTATTCTATTATGAACTTGCTGAAAAAGGCAGTCCACCATCAAGATCAAAGTTCCTGGTAAAAGATGTGAATAGGTTCAGAAGTGTATGGTTAGTGCCCAAAACAAAAAAAACTAGAACAGGAGCCATAACGATGGTTGGAGCAGAAAAAGAACATGGAATAAATAGGCTGAAAGGAAAATTACCAAGTGAACCAATGCCTGATGAAGAGGAAGAAAGTTGAGCATAGTGATGTGGTGTGAACTCTTGTCCAGCATCCAAACATTGGAAGTCTTGTCCTCATCAAAAAATGTACCTCACTCAAAGAGAGAAGCATCAAAGAAGGGAGAGATCTGGTTTGAGAGGTGGAAAGGGAACACAAGAAGTAGAACAGGCAGGGTCCAATTACCATGAAAATTCCTTGTGGAGAGGCTCACAACAGAGGACAAAGGATCCCAAGAAAGAAAACACTGGGTTCACAGGGTCAACTGTAGTATATACATAAGGATGTGCCCCCAAAGGATTGACAAGTTATAGGGAAACCAGAGTCTCCAAAAGCAAAAGAACCTCACATGCAAGGAGAGAACAAGAAGTGTAAAACCTGGTGACCAGATATGACATAGCTAACAGGCAAAGAAGATAGGCTGAAATCAGTTGAAGTGGGAGAAGAAAAATATGCCCAAAAGTACCCAACAGTGAGTGGGAGTGAGAAAAGACCTAGATCCTAAGATTAGTCCAAATCCTAACTGACACATCAACCATGGCCAACCACAAACTGGGTAAAAAAGACCATAGATAGGGTCAGAGGGAAGAAAAAAGGAAATGGGAACAAAAGTGAAGAAAAGAGGACCAAGAAAAGAGACTAAGGAGTAAAGTGACTGTTGAGAGAAATTGAGACCAACAGCAAGTAAAGAGAATGGTACTCACAGTAACATATGTACATGATAGTCACTGGCAAGAAGAGTGACTAATCAAGGGAAGACAAGAATAAAAAAGAGGAAAGCCTGGAATTCAGAATGAAAAAAAAAACAGATCTAGATGAGGAATAGGAGTAAAGAGCACAGTTGAGAAAGAGGAAAAAACCCTGGAAGATAACGAGGACAGAAGTTGTATAACATCAGACCAAGCCACCATGAGGAAAAGAACTCCATTGAAGATGTCTGAGTAATGAAAGAGAGACAGATGAATAATAAGTACAAAAGAAAAAAGGTACAGTAAAGAGGAATGTAACTCAACCCAACGTGCCCCAACAGCAAGAGAAAAAAAAACAGAGGGATAGAGCAGAAGAAGTGGGAGAGGCCAAAGAGAGAAAGGAATAAATGTCTACAGAAGCCATCAAAAACATTAAGAAATTCCTCAGATAAAAGATGCAGTTAGGAGTGGGAATAAAGAAGGATAGAGAGAAAAAGACGAGGAAAGTCATGCAAATGGGGAACTAGAAGTGAAATGAAAGGTAAAAGGGCTTGATACCCAAGCTGGTCAGATAGATATTAATTACAAAGAATTAGGAAAAGAAAAGAAAGTCTACAAATCAGGACAAAAGGAGTCACAAAAATGTGAGGGGTTCTGAGGCATTTGGGCATGAAAATGGAGTTATTAGATAAAGAAAATAATATAAAATCTAATAACAAGCAAGGAGAAATAACATGATGAACCCAAGAATCATGCATCAGAAAGTGATAAAATGAAAAATAATAAAGAACACAGGTAAAACAGATGAAAAGAAACAAACTTGTGAAGGAAATTGATAAAGAGATTTAAAGGTTAAGGTCGTTTCACAAATGGTAAGGTACTACCCAAAGCAAATCACATAAAAGTCGTAATCTAATAGATATTCTAGATATTCCAGATTGAGGAGAAAGAAATTTGGCCAATAGGACAAGAGTAGGAGGCCCATTAAGCATGTGGTAATTTACAGCATGTTGAACAATGACAGCAATGACCCTGACAGTTAACAAGCCTCCAAATGCTACAGCAGAAATAAGGCCTAAGTATGAACAACATTCCACATTCAGGACTAAGTATAAATCACCATTATTTCATATTTCATGATAAAAAATTAAAGCTTATGAAATAAAACCTAAAGAAAATCAAAATCAAAGTTTTGTTAACAATGCAAATCTCAATAAATTGAACACAGACAAGAAATTTAAGCATGTCTGTACAATACAATGCTAAGGAGAAGAATGAAGATTCACAAGTGCAAATGCATAAGGCAACTTAGTGCTCATGGAGGTGTATGGCACAATTCAAGTATAATCAGGTGAACTTAGGTCAAGGTTGCCTCAAGGTTAGTGGAATGCAAATCTCTTCGGCAAACACACTGAAAAAGATAGCTAATCTGTGTGTGAGTTGAGTTATTGTGTTGGAAAAGATGTGTCCCCTATTGAACTATGGGCAGGCTAATAGAGAATACATTCATATATGGTGATAATACAAATAATACTTACATGAGCTCTATCTTGGTAATAAAAAGAGGATATTGAGACAGACGAGTCACCAGTTGGACTACGGGCTACTGGAGGATACATGAGGTGATACTGGGAAGAAGATGGTGTGCTTCGACTTTTTATAGGCAAAATGTGAGATGAAAGATAGGCTCCCAAGGCTGAAAGTGATCTGGGTGTTAGCTCAGTAGGGACATTCATTCTCTGGAGGTGTGGGGGACGACCAAAACACACAAGAAAATCTGCAATGATTAAGTAAAAAATTATCATTGGCTTTAAATGTAACTTGACCCAGTGGAATTTTTGAATAATAATCCATAATGAGTTATTAGTCTTTGTTTTTTTCATTTGCACTTAAATATAATTAAATTTCATATAAAATTATATCCATAAATTATTAATTTTTTTTTAGAAGTATAACCAGAATAAATATATTTTTAAATTTATTCAAAGAGTTAGTACACTAAAGTGCATGTAATCTGTAATTAAAAATACTTAAAGGAAACTAACCATGAAACAGATATTTATTATCATACCTGTAAGCTATGATTAGAATCAAATTTGAATTAAAAAACCTTTTAGCCACTTACCACTTCCACAAAATCTAGCTCCTGATGTGCGAGGAAAGGGTACACTTGCATCTTGAAAGCTGCCATACACTGGAACATTTATTCCAGGATACTGTTCTTTTCCTGGTTCAATATGGAATGGACTCGTTTGATTTTGCTGGTCTTGACCATCTGACTAGTTAAACCATTAAAACTAATAAATAACTACTGGAGATACATCATTTTCTTGTGTATTTCAAAAACAAAAAAAGCATTAGGTAAATTTTCTGTAATTAGAACTGTTTTTGTCTCTATTTATCAACTCCAAAATGTTTATAATAATAATAATATCATACCAAATACCTTCAGTAGATTTTTTTTCAAGTATAATCAAGTTCACTTGTGTGACTAAAAAAGGTCGATAAAGTTAGAAACTAAATTCTGTTCCCCTCCTTATAAATCAAGTTGAGCTTAAGTTTTGTTTTTACTTACAGTACACGATTCCAATGTAGCTACCAGCTGTCTCAGACATGGCTCCAAACAAGACCTGTTTCGTTTCACTTGTTGAACTGATGTTGTTCTTAACACCTACAAGTAAAATTTTCAGTATCTGCTTAAAAACTCCAAATTATTTGTTTCACACCTTTTTTTTTTAACCTAAGAATTCTACATGGAACTTAGATATAAATAACCAGTAAAATGTGTACACTCATTTAAGCTGGTAGTTAAAAATAATGTCCTTTTCAAAAATCATAACTTATTGATGTTGATAATGATTAGCATACATACACAATGTTAACACACACGTTTCTGTATACATGTATGCGTGTGTGTGTGGTGGGGGGGGGGGGGAGTTGTATCTATGTATGTGTATATATGTCTTCAGTAACCTTATGGTCTAGTATAGAAATTAACAGAAGTAATAAGAAAATGCAGCAAGTCAATTATTAATCTAAGATCTGAAACATTCAGTCACAAATTAAGATCAGTTTCCAACTGAACAATAAACTTCTGCTGCTTCAATGATTTAATTCCCATTTATATTACCTCGTAAGTTTTAATACAGTTTGACTTTTTTTCATTTTACTTGAATGTGAATCCTTTTAACACAAAGAGATAATGAAGTTTATTTGCTGTCAAATTAGTTTAAACACTGCTTCATAACCACAAAAACATTACTGAAAGTTAATCAGGAGGATTCTGAGAATGGTTTTATTAGGTTTCCTGAATAACATTAGGAAACTACATGCAACCAAAGTACTAGGTAAATGTCTGGAGGTATATAGATTTTTTTTTTTTTATCAACACAACCATAATGTATATCTCTGGTAATAGACAGAAGCTCTACAATCTATATGGCA